GACCCTTCTCTCCGCCACGTATGTAACTGTAAGTGTAAGAATTCTGCGTGATCGTTGTTAAAGATTGACTACTGTACTAAACAAAAGTTGAGCACTGTACTTGACTCAGCCAGCTAGCCGGTAGGTTTCGGCTTCGCTGTTGATCTCAGGCGTTAGCTGGCGTTTCTCGATTGTCAGCGAGTCAGTTGTACATTTGAGAGTGCTGGTGAAGCACTGTAAACTACGTGTATACTGTGTACGCCATTTACTGCATAAGTACTCTATACGCAGTTGATATAATAGTACGTGACTGGCCAGGCTTGTGTCGATGTATGTGGTTATGCCTAGAGCATTAAAGAAAGACGTTTCTGCATGTGTACACCTGCAATCTGTGTTAGAGTTTTCTGAACAATTTGGTGCCGAAACCCGGGAATTTCCGTGCGTGCATGTATGTATACTGTCGGAGCATGCACAGAGCGGACTGTTTGAACAGGTATATGACGGTGTTTCAGTCTGCCGTCTAGACAGGAGCTCTCCCAGAGTTTACTTTGATACTGTGAAGTTACCATAACATTATGTCAGAGCCTCTCACTGCTTTGAAGCGTAAGAGGGCGGCTGCACAAGGTTGGGTAACGAGAGCCACACGTGCAATAGATGTGCTGCTCGAGAAGAAAGAGATAGACGCAGTCATATGGAATGATGCCATAGAGAACTATGACAGGCGTATGGCTACGCTAAACGCTGCACAGACAGAGTGGGAACTCGATATTCCAGACGAGGAGCTAGATGCTGACTTGGATGCAGCTGAAGCATTCTACCAGTCTGTGCGACCATCGCGACAAGCGGCTAGCCGCGTGCTACAGAAGCTAGGTGAACAGGCCTGCAACAATAATGATGCTGCTTCCAGTCACCACAGTGCTAGTTCTTTTGCAAATGTGAAGTTGCCTCGCCTAGAGCTTCCCAAGTTTCATGGTGATGCTCTAGAATGGCAAGCATTCTGGGACGAGTTTGCGGCATACATGTGTAGATGCATCAGAGCTACCTGATGTAAGTAAGTTTACCTACCTCAAGTCTCTCGTCACAGGAGAGGCAAGGTCGACTATCCAGGGTTTGACCCTCACCAATGCCAATTACGCAACGGCGTGCCTGCTCCTTAAGGAAAGGTTTGGCAGACGAGAGCTGCTTCTTAATGCCCACATGCAAGCGCTGTTGTCACTGTCTATGACAAACACAGGCTCATGTACTGAGTCGCTTAGGAAGCTGCAAGATAAGCTATTGATACATGTGAGGGGATTGGAGGCGCTCGC